CATCAGCCACGGGTAGCCAACTCTAGTGTAGCAGCTGAAATTGCCACCGCAAGGAGAGGTAGAATCCGGAACATCATCGAAGCTGGCTAGATCAGGCACGATCGCAGCTGTAACTACAATTGGGTGGATGGGTGGGTCTCTCCCTAGTCTGGTTCTTACTTTGAAAATGCCCAATATTGACGACGGCGATGACCTTTGTCACAGTCTTAACATGTCTGGTATCACATTAGTTCTCCCACTTCGTCCTACCTGAAAATCAGGCACAAGGCCGATTGAGGCTCAGCCGCCGGGCTCGCTTTCATTTCCTGCCTACCGTCAGGACCTCAGAGACCTCCGGCATTTCCAAGGGCTCCGTTGTTGTTGTGCGGCGTCAATGTTTACGGGGTTAATCCAGACAGAGCGCTTCTGTATGTGAGTGGACTGAAGGTTATCTTCCATACTGAGTCGATATTGAAAACAGATTCAGAGATTTCAGTCAGTTTTTTTCCCTAGAAGGTGTGTTCGTTTATCTTGAAGCCTGCTTGCTGTTTCCGATATTTAAATCGGAAACTTGTAGGTGTTTGTTGGACAGCCCAACAATTCGGCAGTTTTCATCTTAAAAAAAATCCAACTGGTCCTAAAGTTATGTAGGCCAAACATCTCTTGGGTTCTCTTTCTGATCTGCTAAATCCATCAAGCAGTATTGCACTAAAATCGGATAAAAGTGGTCCATTCCTCTGTCGCCCATTTGTCTTTAGCTGCTTATAGAGCTCCTTCCCCCTCCCCGTTCCAAATCTGTTTCATTCTTAGGTCGTCACTTCCGTCCTGGTGAGTCTTTCGCTTTCAGCGACTGTTCATTCCGTTAAGGTTTATTAGGAGAAACATACACGAACAAAGTGGCTAGGAAATGTATCGATAGAAAAGAAAAGTTCAGAAAAAATACGTCAATTGCATGCTTGCAGGCGAAACACGAGCAGCTGTGAGTTACAATACTTGCCAGAATTCGAGCAACATACCGAAATGTGCCGAAGATTGATACTCTTTCGCTAATCGGCGTTGACTCAGGTTGTGATATTGATTATCATGTAGTCTATTCTGAAGTCATTTGAGTCATGATAGGATGTCGGCTTTTTAATGAGCTTATTTCTGACCGCTAGAAACATTTATGCTGTAAAAGTAACTACTTAAATAGTATGCGTATTTATCATTGATTTTGACTGCCTTTATAAAGTTAACTGTATTTTATGGAAAACATGCACAAAATAAATATTTCTTGTGCTTGTTTGGCAGCAAATTAGGCCTTCTTTAAATTTTATTCTTAATGAAAGGGTATCTTTCGGTTTGAAAAAAGTTTCTAAATTTCCGAATAATTTTGAAACCTGCTGACTAGAATTCAAGGTTTACGAACTGTTCACTGTGTACATCCTGTTTGAGGAAAGGTGTGTTTTCGCCTATAGTGTGAGGAGCAAGTCACATAGTTCTCACAAAATGTTGCAATGGGCGTTAAACATGCTTTATACAGTAAATTATGCATTAGTAAATTGATGGATACGATATATTATGAATGAACACTTCGCTATCGTAAAAAAGCTAGTAATTAGAAATTTTTCGAAAACCAGAAGATACCTTCTCTTTAAGTGTAAAATTTAAAGAAGGCGTAATTTGCTATCAAACAAGTACAAGACAATATTTTCGTGCATATTTTCAATAAAATATATTTAATTAATAACGGCAGTCCATATCAATGACGAACGTGCATGCCATTTAAGTAGTTGCTTTTTACAGCATGAATGTTTTTTTGGCGGTCAGAAATAAGTTCTTTGAAAAGCCGACATCCTATCATGACTGAATGGACTTCAGAATAGATTACACGATAACCAGTATCACAGCCTAAGTCAATGCCGATTAGCGAAAAAGTATCAATCTTTCGCCTATATCGACATGTTGCACGGTTTCTGGCAAGTGCTGTAGTCATGCCTGCCTACTTACTTAGCACGTGTAATTATAAATAATTGTCTAGTCGCTTCTTTTCGAATGAAGTGATTGGCTACTTGTTCTCAAGCGCTATAATTGCCACATTCGCCTTTACCGCCATTCAAGTTCTCACCCATAGTTTTCTCTACCCTTTCTTCGTCGTCCCCGTCGTCGTAACCCAATTTTAGGATCGAATTTCG